AAATTCAAGAGATTATGTACAGCCGGCATTCCATAGCTCCGAGACACACGTGCAAAGGAGCTACCACCCCTGACCAAATATGGTGTTCCCCGGAGATCATGCCTTGGATTTCCAACATTGCGCTTTGGAAGATTTATCCTGATCATGACATGTTGCTTGCCGGGATTCGCATGCCGAACTTGCCTAAGGTTTCTTTGCAATGGCATCTTCCTGGTCATATCCCTTGGAATCATGTGTCTCAGGAACGATGGACTTCGGATTCTGACGTTGGTTCTGTGTTCCCTCCTAGCGTGTGGCCTGCGGGCGGCCTACCTCGGTCTGAACCAGTCTTTTCCGATGGACTTCACTCTTTGGACTCCACTTTTGCCTTTCAGCAATAGAGCAGCAAGTTTGAGCAAGCAGCATCCAGGTGCATTGAACTTCCCACCGCAAAAGCTGATCGAAGTTTTTACGGCCGTGGTCAAATGACCAAACCCAAGTTTCGAAGTTGCACTTATGCAGTTCCAAAGCATAGCCGACAAGGCGAAGTGCAGCAGACCTGCGGTTTTTTGAATAGGGCCGTTGCTCGTTGGTTCAAACAGCTGCGACGTATGCAATCCTATATGCATGCTGTTAAGTCGGCCAACGTAGACTCCAACTTTCGATCCAGAGCTGAATTGTGGAACAGCATTCTCAGGGCTGCCGGTTTCAGTGAAGGTTTTTCAACGTGGTGGTTGTCCCGACCTGTTCAGCTCCAAGGCACCCCTGGTGCAATCCCCATGTACCCGCCAGACATTGTCATTGCCAGTTTGCTGTATGATGATTTCAAGCAGAATTACAGGCACTTCGAAAGCTGGCAGTTGCAAAAACGCCGGGCGAGTTGTCAGTCAAAGCTTGTGGAAACCACCAGAGGCCTGTTTGCAGTCACAAAGAAGCCTGCAAAGGAGACTTTGGATTGCCTTGAAGACCAGATCTCACAGCCCATCACTGTGGTCAATGTTAACACAAATGTGATTCAGGTGCCTGAAGTTTTCCCTGTTGAAAATGTCACCCATTGGACTTTGCAAGACCAGCCAGCTGTTGTCCGGGTCCATCCGGATGGCTATCAAGTTGACTCGGATTACGTTTTGGCCAGCAATCAGGTCTTGACTTGCCATGTTGCGGTTCATGATACTGCGGTCATTCACAATAGGTTAATTGACCTGTGGTCCCCAAGATGGAATAAGCACAAAGATGTGCCAAATAGCCATTGGAACCATATCCGTGATTTTGCCCAAGCACACCTGAAGTTTGAGCCTTTTGCCTTGCCTCCCATCACGGCACAGGACTTTCGGCGTGCAGTCAGTTCCTTCAAATCAAATGCTGCCTCAGGCCCATGTGGGTGGTCATTACAGGACCTTAAACATCTCACGGACGTACAAGTCTCTGCCATTGTGGATTTTTTTTTCCGCAATCGAAGCAGGGGCTCCATGGCCTGCTCAGTGGTGTGTTGGCCTAATCCACTGTCTTCAGAAGCGAGCATCCAGCCGTACCGTTAATGGATTCAGACCCATTACTGTGGCAAGTTTGTTTTATAGGCTTTATGCAGGCATCCGTTCTGGCCAGATACTTGCTCAGCTCTCCAAACGAGCAGACAAGTTTCAGTGCGGTTTTGTCCAAGGGCGCCAAGCCTCTGATGTTTGGTATCTTGTTGGCATCAGCATCGAGCTGGCCATGCAGCAATCCACTCCTTTGTTCGGTGCAGTTGCAGACATAGTTAAGGCTTACAATGCCCTGCCTCGTTGTCCGGCTTTTGACTTTCTGCGTTTGCTTGGAACTCCAGAATGGTTTCTTCAGGTTTGGTCTCGTCATCTCAGTTCATTCACCAGGTATTTCATCGTCAACGGTGAAGCCAGTCCTGCAGTGTGTGCGTGCACGGGCTTTCCCGAAGGTTGTCCACTCTCCTGTTCCGCCATGACGGCCATAGACACCGTCTGGCACTGGTGGCAACATGTCGCGGCCCCTAACCCACTCAGTCTGAGTTATGTTGACAATCTTGAAGTGTTAGGAGACTCCTCTCAAGCTGTTCACGCTGCTTTGCAAAGCTTGGGTTCTTTCTGTGACCATTTGGACTTGGAAATAGACACTGATGCCTTGTATGCCTGGTCGTCTTGTCCGTCAGGTCGCCGTGAACTTAAAGATTTGGGGTATAAAGTAAGTTTGGGAGCCAGGGATCTAGGAGGTCAAGTCACTTACTGCAGTCAGCTACGTAACCGTGTACTCACTGACCGGATCACTGGAATCAAGCAGTACTACACCAAGCTCAGATCAGCAAAGTTGCCAACCCAGGTGAAACTTCTCAACATCAGACAGGTTCTTTGGCCCAGAGCTTTACACGGATGTGAATCCGTTGTGCTTGGGAACACTCACCTCAATAACATGCGATCAGGGGCTATGTTGGCTGCAAACTGGAGACGTGGCGGAGCTTCTCCGATTGTGCGAATTGGTCTCCTTAACACTCCAACTGATCCGGCTTGGTATCAGCTGTGGAAAGTTGTGCAAACCTTCAGACGCCAATTTCACTGCAGCCCTGTTGTTGCAGATTTCTGGAAGCTTTACCTTGAGAATCTGCGAGGCTCGACGAACGGGCCTTTCGGCAAACTTTTGGATCTTGTGCATTCAGTTGGCTTGCAATTGGACGAGGAAGGTTGCTTGTGGTTCTCCCATCGGGGATGTTTGGACTTGACTACTTGTTCCAATGTCATTTTGGAGAAGATTCTTTTACATTTTTTCCATCGTGCACTGGCGGACCAGGTTCAAAACAGGTCCGGATTTCAGGACTTGGAGGGCTTTGACTATGACCTTACGACATGTTGTGACAAGTTTTTTCAGCCGCACCAGGTTGAACAACTAATGGTCGTGCGAGATGGCAGCTTTTTCACCAACCAATTCTGCAGTAAGTTCGATGCTAGCAAATCTGAGATGTGTGTCAGTTGCAATGTTGTTGACAGTCGTGCCCACCGATACACAACATGCAGCAGATATGATCAGGTGCGATCTCGGCACCAGCAGTTGTTTGAAGAATGGCATTTGTTTCCTACATGTTTCCAGCAATACGGTTTGGTGCCAGCCAATCCATGGCAGGTGCTCCTTTGGGAAGCTTTTCTTGCCTTGCCAAGTTTGGTTAACAAGTATGAGCTAGCACCAACTGGACGAACCTGGCACCTTTTCACTGACGGCACATGCAGTGCACCTCAAGATCTTGATTTGGCACTGGCCGCCTGGGCCGTGGTTTGGGCAGATCATGGTACGGTAGCATGTGGCTACCTCTCTGGACTTCAACAAACCATTTTGCGCGCCGAAGCAACAGCAGTGTTAAGTGCACTGGGGTGGATTGATCAACAGGAGGGGGTTTTGCACCTATGGATCGATTCCCAGACAGTGATTGACAATCTGCGTGACTTGCTTCGAGGCACCGGGGTTGCGTCGGACTTCGAGCACCCTGATCTCTGGAAACAGATAGAGGCCTTGCTTCAAACTGTGAAAGCCGAAGTTGTCCCACACAAAGTTGTCAGCCATTTGCCGCAGTCTGAGTGCCTTAGCCCTTTGGAAGACTGGACACGAAAGTGGAATGAAGCAGCTGACTCCCAAGCCGACTTGGCAAATCTGACTCGGCCCATTTTTTTCAACAAAGTTTGGGTTCGTTTCCAACAACATAGGCAGAGCTGGAAAGCACGAGTGAGTTTGATCACCAAGTTTCAAGTTGAAGTAGCAGCACAGGACTGTACTGATGAGAGCGTAGAGGAAGAATTAGAAGAACAGGGGTTCGGCGTTTCACGTTTTGATTTTGTCACTAGTTTGAACCATGCCGAGACTTCTGTACATTTATCCACTTGGCTTCAGGTTTCAGGTAGTTTTCATTGCGGTTTAGGATCACAGGCTGATCAGCTTTTGCTTCAGCTGTGTCAATGGTTAGTCACAGTTGATGCAAGTGCCTCTGAGATGCGTTTAGTTGCCATTGTCGAGATTTTTGTTGCTTTCAGGCTTCGTGTTGGGGGTGCCCCTTTGTGTGTTGCCGGGGGCGATGTTGATAGGTATTCTTTGGTTTCTTTTGCCCGTGACTTTTCGTATTTTCGTAGGTTGTGGAAGCTGTTGGAAACTGGCACTGGCATCACGTGGACTAGTGGGCAAATAGATCTAACACAGGTCCGAATTTTGCCTCTGCAGAAGGCTGTCTGGTTGGGATGGCCTCGCGAAGTCGAGTTGCCGGTCTTGCAGGCACTCGATGAATTTGTGGGCGCACGCCCTATTTCCAATTGTCAAGGTTTCTCTCGACCTTGGCGCAATTAGAGCTGAGACTTTTCGGACATGCGGGCTGCGCGAGCTGCCTGCATGCTTGCCTCAAGCCGTGCGCAATATACCATCTATGTTTTTTTTTAAATGCTGTTTTTTCTGGGGGATGGTGCGTTTATGACATTGGAGTTTATCCAGAAATAAAAGATGGTAATCCTCCATCGCAATCCTAGGATTGCGATGGACATTCAGCAAAGTCGAATTGGGAATTGGGATGAATTGGGGATATATTATCATCTGAGTATGTTCAATGCAGATTTCTAGTATCACCTCTTTAACATCAACATCTAGAGTGGTTTGGGCTGAGGAGTTGGTTATCTTAGGAGGTTCAATCATATATATATATGTATGTATATTTCAGAAACACCAACAAAGGAATGTAGGAATGTAGGGACTATTTACCCTCATATCTGGTGATTCTTTGGCGATACCCTGAATGGATTGATGCCAGAAAATCTGCAGGAGCCCTTAGATCAATGGGGGGAAATCAATGGATATCAGGCTTCGTCAAGCATCAAACTATCACGAGATATGCAGCTTCGCCCTGGATGTATCAGGGTATAAAAAAATGTTCACGGTACCAGCAAGAATTCGAAAAATCTCACCATTCATGATCTAAACTTTCTAAACATATCTAAACAAAATGGTGCTCATTGATATTTCGTTTGATCATGCCCCAAAAGCGGCGCCTTTCTGTTGCACCGCTGCCACAAGGGCTCGCGCGATGGCGGGGCATGGCAGCTCCTGATGTCAGGTCGATGGAAAGATGTTCAATTTTCAAGGATAAATATGACAAATGATTAACAATGGAAGCAAAGTACCTTGAGAAACAGCAATTCACTTGGCAATTTACCACTTATTCGCTGGTAAACATACAAAAATCTATTGAGAATGGCCATTTATAGTGGATTTTCCCATTAAACATGGTGATTTTCCATAGTTTTTTGTATGTTTACCAGAGGGTATTCGCTGGATTTCAGGTTTCAGGTCGCGGGGATTCAGCTAAAATTGCACCAAGACTGGAGATGAAATGGAATCATCAAGAACTACACTGCCGCTACACAAAATGGGACTGGTTGGTGGTTTCCGTAGTTTCAACCCTCTGAAAAATCATGGAGTCAGTTGGGATGATGATTATTCCCAATATATGGGAAAAGGGTGGTTTTAACAATCTTGAATAATATGAAAGTTCATGGGAAGGATGACATTCCAGATATGAAATGGACAAATAAAAGCCATGTTCCAAACCACCAACCAGAGTATGTCTAGTCTATACCAATCTGATACAGCCGCAAGATGTTGATGGGGAGCCAGCTTGGAAACACAAAAAAACAGATTCAATCAACGTTTCTGGTGTTCGCACATCCATGGAGTTGACTTTCCTCAGGGATTCATAGTCTTTCATAGTTATGTATGCTTTCTTGTTGCTTCCGCAATCCCAGTTGTTGTTCTTTACATTCCCAAAGAACACCTGTTCTGTAGCTGTCTTCTTCCTCTGTTCATGGCTGACCTATTCGAAACCTGCATTTACGTGGCCCAAAAGAAATAACCCAGAATCATGATTATGCCGCTAACAACCATGGCAAGCAACCACCCCAAAATAGTGGGGACCATCAAGCCAGATATGCTTGAGACAAATCATCGAAATCACCCACCAGATTTACCAACCATAATCTACCACAACCAACCACAATAGCCAACCAAACTTGTAACAGCCCCCTCACACAATAACACATATGTCTTAAAGTAGACATCTCACTATCACTATTGTTGATAGCAATGAGTAGCAGCAACCGCAAATGCAAATGCAAATGCAACAACAGCACCAGCAACAGCAACAACAACAGCAACAATAAGAGCAAAAACAAGAACAACAGCAACAGTAAGAACAAAAACAAAAACAAGAACAACACCATGACCATACAGCAACAAATCGTAACAACAATCCCTTCACCGTTGCCACGTTGCTCTCCTCATCAACTGCCCGTTGCTCCACCAGCACACGTTCCTCGTGGACGTGGTCGTGGCCATGGCGGCCGTGGTGGCTGTGGCCATCCTCAGTGCAGAAAACCATGACTGAAGCCAGCTGGAAATGGCTGGAAACTGGGAATATCTGGGAATTGCTTGATGATTTTGCTTCTTTTTCGGCACTGGATATGTCTGGACGGTGTTTGAATGCCCCAGTTTGAAACTAGACCTTAAACATATCAACATATGCAGATATCCTAGTGTGGATGGTGAAGAAATCCTGCATCACCAAACTGGTTGAAACCCCTAAAAATCATGGGGTGTTTCCCACCCAGTTTTCCCCTGGGATCACCTGACAAGGAGCAGTCTTGGCCCGTTTGCAGTCCTTGGACGCAACACTCCAAGCAGTCATGTTGTCATGCAGTTACAGTCGCTCAGATTGACTAGAATAGTACTAGAATCTAGAATAGTACTAGAATCAGGTACTAGAACAGCAGTAGAATAGTAGAATCATGTAGAATCTAGAATTGTAGTAGACTACTAGATACTGAACTCTGCAAAAACCACGCTGCGACGTGACCCGAATTCCACCACGCTCCAAGTTTCCGGATGGCCATCTGCAAGCGGTGCAACTCGTCGCTTCTGCTGCTCCAACCTGGTCTGGTTTTCGTTTCTTTCGGTACATATTCTTAAGCAAAACATAGCAAAACACTGTTCATACTTCTTGTTACATCTTCTTAATTTTAGGCGCCCTGTAATACTGTAAACCAACATAGATATGGAAATCACATGAATGTGGATCATTATCCGAATGGGAAATGCCATGAGTTTTCCACATCTTCAAACACACCAGTTTTCCCAATATCCTAATTCTACGGTCAAAAGAAACATGGTGATTTCATCCCCTACATCCACCATGGGAAATGCCAGGGAAAAAAATCATAGGGATAGGGATTCATGTGCTATTCACAGCTGTAACTATGGATATTATGAGAATACATCAGAAATTATATAGGATTTATAGGTTAAATGCCCATGGATCAGCCATAAATTCATTTTTTCCCATTACCCTTTGGTAAACTAATGACTATGGAAAATCACCATGCTGAATGCGTAAATCAACTATTTCTATGGCAATTTTCAATAGCCTTTTGTATGTTTACCAGAGGGTACATCCCATTAATCCAAAAAACATCACACATTTCTCCATCTGGATACACCACGGGGGATCTGTCTGAGACACTCTTCCGGATCAGCAGCTTCCAGCCAGCTCTGATAGATCTCCACCGTCACCTGGCATGGAGGTAATCAAAGATGGCCTGTCCTTTTCGAAAAATAGAGGGCCTGGTTTGATATACTATAATCATCTATAATCATCTATAATCATCTATAATCATCATTTATCTAGCTATTGATTGGTTCTCACGGGAATAAAGCCGCCATCAACCAGTGGGACATGGGACATCTATCGCCATCTGCAAAGCAAATCTCCTACAGAACACCTGGTGCCCTGACCACCTGGTGCTGATCTTGTGCATCAAAGTCCTGAATGCACCTGGCATCGAAGCGCACAAGGTACAACCTCGATCAACGAGAGATAACAAAAACCGGCCGCGCCGGAAGACGGGCATATCAAGCTGGGTTACTGCTTGGTGCTTTTAACTCATCCCTCCAAAACATGACTTTTCTGAACCAATCATCCCAAGTATGGATGAACAACGCAGATTTGACACCCCAAATCAGGGGGTTTCCGGGACATGTAGGGAATCTTCATCACTAGGATACTTGGCCAGGTGTCACCAGGATCTGCTGGGGATCTGCTTGGATCATCACATCCTAAAACCGTCAGTAAATGACGATCCCATCTGTATGGATGATTTGGAGCAGATTTCATCTATGGAATCCATGACCACGATCCATTCATAAATCATCGATATCGATGGATGTAGATGGTTCATCCATGTTCATCCATAAATCATCCCACATCAAATCCATCGACCAAAAACATGGCGAAACCAGTGTCAAAACACCTCCCCAGTGGCAAGGTTTTCATCATGTCATAACTCCAGTTGTCTTCGTCAACACATGGCATGGGACCCCTAAGTCATAGCTGCCTGGAAGACCTTACGGACATCTTTTTTGTCGGTCCATTATGGGAAAAATACCCAGTCATAGTTTTGATCCATTTTTTGATGAGTTTTTCAGGTGGTTGGTTGATTCCCCCAGTCATATTGTAATTTCACAGGCCGAGTTGCGGGCTCTTGCCCCACGCCTTTCCACCAAAGGCCAACTGCTCGGGGTTCGCGAAGACACCCAGAGATCGCTCCACAACACCACCTCAAAAGAAAGGCACAAAGGCAGATAAATCAGGGCAAATTACAATAATTCACTAACCTGAACAGTTCGGCCATTTTGGGATTCCCCTAAAATAAACCATGCTTACAGTGAGGGAGAACAGTAAGGTCGTTATTATTTACCCAGACATGGTTCCAATGGATGAAAGTGACGGAATCCGTGGCAATTCTCATGGCGGAAACTCGGATGAATCATCACATTGGGGGGGCTACTGTAGCGTATTTTCAGTCAAACTCACTTGAGTTCAAATTCTTGTTTCTCGTGCCTGAGACTATCGATGATTCCAAATGACGGTTTCAAGCAAATGCAGGACCGTATCTGCCGATTTATGATAACATAAGCCATGAAACTAACTTCCCTTCATCTTCACCAGTTGGTTTACCCACTAAAATCGAAAAATCCAATTGTTTCCCGGCCAAATCGGAATTATTGTCTCAACTCCGCAATTTTTTCATGGTTAAATCAGTGAATCCATATCTTTATTCCAAATCCCAAGTCCTTCCTGCTGAAATTCCCAGATTTTGTTTGAAATTCAGAATTTTCATGGATCAACCCCACTTTTTTCGTGAAATCATGTCAAATCTCAAAATATCCAAGCAAAATGCGACTTTTCCCCCACAACATTAGCTTCGGGGTCGCCCAAAGGTTGGTCTCCCGAGGGGGATAACTGTTCACTGTCACTTTTCCTACCACGCTCTTGGGAAAGGACGAATATTTCTTGGTTCAATCCACATTGAAAAAACATGACACGCACATTTACATCAAAAGCCCAGTTGGACTCCCAATTTTTCTTGGCTTTTCCTGGTTTTCCCCTTTTTTCGTTCCCCGTGTTTTGCCTGACCCATGCCATCGTCCTTCCAGGGCACAAACGCCGTGCACGAATCCTGGCGTCCGCAGATGCGGGCGTCGCCAGCGGCTGGCGAAGGAGCTGGGCTTCACACGCACCACGCTGTCGACCTGGAACCTCTGGAGAAACATGATCCACTTGAGCCGCAAAATACGATGGTTGGTGGTTTCAACCTACCCCTCTGAAAAATATGATGGATGATGTTAGGATCATTCTTCCCAATATATGGAAAACATGTTTGAAACCACCAGCCAGGATGGTCGGTGATGAAATGGGGACTTATGCTATCAAAACAATTTAAGGGAATTATGATGAATTATGATAAACCATAGGAAAGCTATTAATCAACAAATATGGATAGCCTGGATAGTAATCTGGGACACCCAATAATCAACGTACCATTTGGGGATGTTTTATGGTTTAGGGCTTACCAGATTTCAATTAATCAATTTAGGATGTGGATATGGAGCAAGGTATTAATGTGGGACTAGTTGATTGATGATTAGTCGGGGGATTATACTAACCAAGAAAAATTGGGCAATATGGAAGTTTCCTAAGTCATGGTACCCCCAAATAATCTCAGTCATTGAACCATGACTTAGTATTGAAACCCATGATGGTTTTTGGAAAGCTTCAATATTATAATATTGGTAGTGAACGATGATATAAATCTCGTCCAGGTTTCCAACTTTCTATTTTGCGGTTGCTGTGGGATATTCTGTGGATATCGCGACGGAAAATGGCTACTATTTCCATTTATCCATCATCCAGCTAAATGGTGGATTCAATCATTTAGTTCGATGATTTTCCAAAAAAACATACCTCCATGAGGAGTTTCCATGAATAAAATGAATTTTGCCACGAACATGTCGTTTTTATCATGTTTTACCCAGGACATGTTGGAATTTGAGGCAAGACATGTGAATTTCACCAGGAACATGTGGGGGACTTGAAGCACAGCTTGAGATTTCGGGCATGTGGATTTTGAAGAACTATGATTTTTCAGCACAAAACATTGCGATTGAACTACCAACACTTTGCTGAGATTTTGTGAGATTTGACCACTGAGGTTTTTGTGACCTTTTGAAGGGTCAACAGGATCCTAAACCAAAAATATATGTTGGGATATTCCCTGAAATTGAGGTGAAAAATAGGCCCACCAACTGGTAGCTCCAATTTTCATCGGATCCTGGGCCAAAAACGCCGACTTGCCGGGGAAATGAACATAAACCAAAACTCGATTACCAAAAACACATCAGGGATAAAACCGAAATAATATAACCCTGGATATATATATAATATATTGTATATATATGATAGAAATATATAAACATAATATATATATATATATTATATACATAATATAATGTATATATATAATATACATAATACATATATATATAATATACATAATATTAAAATATATATAATATAAAATAATATATAAAATATATAAAATTTAATGAATATATATATATTATATAAAATATATAAAATATAATGTATATATATTATAATATATATATAATATACAATATATAATATAATATATAATATATAATATATTATATATAATAAATTATATATAATATATTATATATAATATATTATATATAATATATTATATATAATATATTATATATAATATATTATTATATATAATATATATATAATATATATATAATATATATAATATAATATAATATAATATATAATACAATATATATAATATATATTATATAATATAAATATATATACAGATCATTTCATGAAAAGTTATGCTTATGGGATGAGTTTTGGTGATATATTTCATGGCTGGTTATATATCATTTCATGAAACATGAAATCCACCAGTCATGACACCTCCACAGAAATCCAAATGATTTCACCGCTCCGCTCTGCACCTTGGGCTCTCATCGTCGCCATCATCGCCCAGCTCCTTGGCGAGTTCCTCGTTACTCAGCAGCTGATGTTCCAACAAGGCGCTGCAAATGGAACTGGCCCACCTGAGATCTGCGGTGTCAAGCTGGATATCTGGAGATGCTGCCAGAGTTATGGATTGTGGGCTTTATCATGGATATAACCATGGATATAACCATGTGTAACCACCATGAAACATGCGATTTCCCGATTCTACCAACAACCAACCACGCCCCTTAAAGTTCTGACCGTGTATCAAAACATGGCATCTCTGGGATGCCGAGACAAAAGTTGGGACAATGATCTTCCTAAACTTCTGATGATTGTAAAAAACACACACATATAGATAGATAGATAGATAGATAGATAGATAGATGGATAGATAGATAGATAGAAAGATAGATAGAAAGAAAGAAAGATAGAAAGAAAGAAAGAAAGATAGATAGAATAGATACATAGATAAATAAGATAGACAGATAAGATAGATAGATAAGATAAATAGATAAGATGGATAAAATAGATAAGATAGATAAGATAGATAAGATAGATAAGATAGATAAGATAGAAAGAAAGAAAGATAGACAGATAGAAAGATAGATAGATAGGTAGATAGACAGATAGAAAGAAAGATAGATAGATAGATAGCTAGATAGCTAGACAGATAGACAGATAGACAGATAGACAGCTAGATAGCTAGATAGCTAGATAGCTAGATAGAAAGATAGATAGGATAAGATAAGATAAGATAAGGTAAGATAAGATAAGATAAGATACGATAAGATAAGATAGGATAAGGTAAGATAAGATAAGGTAAGATAAGAAAAGATGAGAAACGGTAATATAAGATAAAATAAGACAAGATAAGATAAGATAGGATAGATAAGATAAGATAAGATACGATAAGAAAAGATAAAGTAAGATAAGATAGGATAGGATAGGAAGATAGATAAATAGATAGATAGATAGATAGATAGATAGATAGACAGATAGACTAGATACACATACATAGTTATATAGGTTATATGGTATATTTTTGATATATACACACACACATTTTTCTTTTTATTACAGTACCTGAAATACCACAGAATGGGCGAATGAGTCGTTGTAATTTTCGTGGGTGAAAAGTCCAGCTTGGGATGCTCATCAATCCCCCCAACATATTTAAAGTGGTAAACCCAATGCCATAAACCTCTATTAGGAATGGCTTAAAATTGGGTTTTCCTCATTGTACGTAAATATCTAGATAGTAAATATGAATATATGTACATATAGAGTCATACATACATTACATGCCATTCCATTCCATTCCGTTCCATTCCATTTACATTACAATACATTACATACATAGCAACTCGGCAAGAAACAAGTCATGCGCAAACTTCCTGGAACCTTCTCGAATAAGCACGGCAATCTGAGGCACTTCTCGTAGTACGAGGCTTCAGCATATGTCTTTGGATCAAGGTATTCAATGCCACGCCTCACCTGTCATGAGAAAAGCGAGCCAACCAAATCCCATGGTTCATCGTTTTCCTCATTGGAATTGCCGAGCAAGGGGTATATTCTCTATTTCCAGACACACCCATAGAAGCCCTTTAAAATCATCAACAAATGGGTTTGAGCATCCCCATCCACAACCTTTGATGCACAACAACCCAAAATACCATAAAATACCGGTGAATCTTAGACTCGCTGGTTCTCTGACGATGCCCATTTTTTGAGCTGCTTCATCTATTGTTCATCTATTGAATCACAAAAATATCCATTGTGTCCATTTAATCTTGATAATATCAGTATTAGCGCAGTATCACTTTATCCCACCCCCCCATCAATATCCATTCAAAAAGGCGCCTTAAATTCGTCAACCAAACCAGGCCCAGAATGACCCTTTGGTAGCAAAAATGACCATGGAGAGTTCGGTGATTTACCGATTTTCTACATGGTGATTTCAATAGCAAACTGGTAATCAGATAATCTCAAACAGTTGGTTATATACCCCAGAAAATATTCTTAAATATATCATAATATATCATACACCATATATATCCGATAATACAAAATTCGGGGGGACCATGCTTGGCTTTACCCGGCCTGGTAAACTAACAGTTTGCTATAGAACATCACCATGAATAGCTAAATCATCAAACTAAATGGATCATTTTCCATCGCTATGTTGGTTTACTGGAGGGTATTGTACAGAAAAAATCCCGATCCCATTAAACCACCATAAAATCCCATAACAATCCATTAAAAAACCAAAACATATACTGGTTGGTGGTTGAGCCAACCCCTCTGAAAAATGATGAAGTTCGTCAGTTGGGATGATGATTATTCCCAACTGAATGGAAAGTCATTCATGTTCCAAACGGAATAATAATCAATGGATATCAATGGATTTAAGAGGGATAATAATACCCCTCCTAACAAAAATATACTGGTTGGTAGTATACCTATCCCATTAAGGATTCCATTAAATCCCATTAAATCCCAAAAATTATATATGCCATCCTTTTTTTTCTGATCATCGCCACCTCGTCCACTTTCAGATGACCCTTGGACACCAATAACATCGCCGTAGCATGGACTTGGCCTTGGTTTCCACACGGTACCGTGTACCGTGCTGTGAAAATTGGGATGTTTTTTTTTGGCTGCGAAACTTGGAAAAGTCTAGGGAAAATTGGAAAAATCTATTAAACACTATGGTGTTTATACATGTTTAAATGGGTTTCCTTGGAAAATCTAGCGTGTTTTTGAACCGCTTTTTGGTTGATCACGAGTTATTTTAGCACGAAATTCCTGCAACTTTTTGATCCAATCGGATGGAAAAAACAGTTATTGTTGGTTTATAACTGGGGAAACATAACTATGTTTAACTATGTTGGTTTATAACTATGTTTAACTAAAAACTGACATTAGAGCTTAACTCTGTTTAACGATCAACAACGGGGAACAAAGCACCAACCACATAACATGGACACATATAGGGGTTTCCTAAGTCATAGGGGGTACCCTCAATCATCATCCATTTATAGATGGATGTTCCATGAAATAAACTATCCAGCTTGTGGGTACCCCCATGACTATGGAAAACCCCATATGAAATCTTTGGGGGTTTAACTATCAAACATGGGGGTTACCATCCATAGCCATATGCTCATCATTGGGGATCATCCCAAAGCACTCAGAACGTCCAAAATCACCCAGTTTTGTAGCTAAATATACGTACCGCACCATGGGTGGAGCATATGGGAATTGTAAGTCACAGTGAGGTCTCCGATCTGAAATCGCGTAGGTCAATTCGCCAAGATGAGGCCCCTACGAAATCGCGACAACTTGGCGCACATAAATTGCTTTACGTTTGGGTTTATGGGGGATAGGGGTATAACTATGATATAACTATTCATGGGGTTTTGTTAGCCCACTTACTAAGGGATCTGAGGAAGAACTGTGCATTTTAACATTCCCATATTCGTAATGATTTTGCTGGTGAATCTCCCCCCATTTTCTGGGAGAAATAGCACTTGCTGCTGTTTTCATCTGTTTTCTTTTCTGGTTCGATGGCCAGGGCCCCTGCGCTAAGCAACTGCGGTTGCCAGATCACCCAGTTGGATCAGTTGGATCAAAAATATCAAAATCCTGTGGATGGGCCGATGGGCCAGCGAAATCCTGCACCGAAAGGATGGTTGAAACATGTTGAAACCCTGTAAATAATGGGATGTTTACCACCGTTTTCAGCTGGTGCAAGATTTCGCTGGCCCATCCACCGTATCTTTGGTCCCCAGTTACTCAGTTGGCCACGGACAAGGCACGTTCCCAGAAGGCGTGCTGTCGATCGCCCTTCTCTGGCAGAGTGCCAGAGGCCGAAATGGCCGGCAAACTGCCCATGTCATGAGGTCCAATGGCGGTCACCATGGCAACGTTTCTTTGGCGACTTAGGCGACTTTGCTTGTGAATTTTCTGATTTGGGAGTTGCCAGTCAGTTGCCAGTTTGTTTGGTGTTTTTCGAGATGTTGGCGAAGAAAAACACGGATGTTGCATGTTTGGCGACCGTGCGACCTGATGTGGTGCGAAAAAAGCCGCGAAGCTCCCAACAGCGATGGGAATCAACAATCAACATCTTGATATCAAATTACTGCCAATATCTATCTATAAGGTCTATAAGTATAACAGTTATAACATATCCCCACATGATCCAATAGATATTCTCAGTAAATTGATCTCATGTTTGTTTTCATGTTCCCAACGATAGACTGACCACTTACCAGCTAATTATGGCTCCATGAACGACCCGCTGGATCCATCAGTTGATCCCGGGAAGGATGGGATAGTCGTCTACTCTGAAAATGCTTTGATGTTTGATGCTAACACAACTTTTTTCACCAGAAATTGGAAGAGAAAAAACCGCAAAAAATCGATTGAATCCACCCAGCTTTTCCTGATGTTCCAACTTTGCTGTCTTGGTCTTTTCCTGTTGTCTCATCCTCCCATCGACCATCTCGGATTCCTCTCCTTGACGAAGCGTTTCCGACTTTTTGTTTTCCGCGACATCCCCGAGAAACCTGTTGTACAAAAAACCAGGGTTTCGTTTGGGGGCCAACATTGGAGAGAAGGGATCAATAGACAGGTTTTACTTTTGACAGAATCAAAAGACAACACGAGGGGGCAACCTCATCAAAATATGCTGTAGTGGCTGATGTCCACGAGCGAAGATTTGAAGAATTCGCTACCTGATGGGCACTTTAGTGGGAAAACATGTGGATTCAGGGTCTGAACAATCGCTCCAGTGCGTTTGCAGAGCAAATGAGAGGTCATGCTTTGCCAGGTTGTGCGAACAGCGCATGCACCATTCAAACACCCGGTCAAATTCGGATGGTCAGCATCATCTCAATCAATAAGCAAAAGTGTTACAACCATTTGGAGGCCTCAAAACCGGGTTGCAACCACCAAAAAAGCAGGTCCATATCGACAAATTCAAAAAGACTCTGGCCACATTCCGAGAATTCATTAGAAACCTTCAAAAGACCCTGGTTTTCATCGGATTTAGACCATGTGTATGGATCCATCATTAACAAAAAACGGGATATACCACGATATTGGACCCATATAGAACCTGGTTGGTGGTATACCTGCCCCTCTGAAGAATATGAGTTCGTCAGTCGGGATGATTATATATTCCCATATATTATGGAAGGTCATAAAACTCATGTTCCAAACCACCAACCAGTATATTATTATATTGCTATTGTATATACCCTCTGGTAATTTAATATGGCTAGTTGGTTTACCTATTAAAGATGGTGATTTTCCACAGCTATGTCAGTTTACCAGAGGGTATATGGAATAAAACTAAAATCATTGTCAATGGAATTATTGTTCCAACCCACCAGCCAGGAACCAATCATTTGACGCTGATTTTCATGGGATTTTCAGGACTTGACCCCAACTTGGGACGTTGCGAAAGAAAGTCACGCCTTCGGAGCGGCCGTTGCCCCCAAAACCTTGGCACCCGGCAGGGGGGCGGAGGATGAGAGGCTTATACATAAAATATAATTTTTTTTTGTTTATAGTTATAGTCTAGTAGTATATATATATTAACTTTTAACTCTTAACTGTACTATTATATCATTGTTATTGAGTAATTATTCATTTTTAGCTATCGAATGTTTAATAGGCCAGTTTGAACAGTAGGACTTACTAATCATGCTCATTTGGACTCTCATAGAGTTTATCCGGGAAAAAAACATAATCCCTTCCCAGGGACTAATTTATAGCCATGGAATAGTTTCAAGATAGTTGGCAAAAACCCAAAGTTTAACCCCCCACAGAGAATCGTTTTTTTTTTTCCGCTCCTGGAACCTACTTGGAAGTGCAGTTCGAGTAGATATGATCTATACAACCATAGTCATAGGGGACCCATATCCCAACTTATGGGGGTATACTGGGTCAATGGGGAACACCTCCGCTGATGAGAAAATACAGGAAAAACACCATTTGGAGTTTGGAGGAATTTAGGAATACCCTATCTTGAAACCAACCTATTTTTGGATGCCCAAACCATCCATGGTCATCTATTCAAACATACCAACCGTGATGCACATCGAACTACCTCGCGAGAATTGGATCAAGACTAAACATGGAACATGTCTCTAGCTTGGGGAGCCTGAAGATGTCTTAAGTTTTGGCGCAAACCCAGCTAACACAACCAATGATAAGATAACCATTGAACATCAGTGATGCGCCCAAAGAATCGGGAAACTCATGGTGATGCCAAGCTGGTATCGTTTATCACTATAACTTATCTGGTTGGTGGTTTCAACCCTCTGAAAAATATGAGTTCGTCAATGGGCAGGATGACATCCCATATATTATGGAAAATAAAAGCCATGTTTGAAACCACCAACTAGTTATAAATACAAAAGCAACTTCGCCGCACAAAACTTGGGATGCTTTCCTGCTTTTAAGAGGAGACTGAGCCTCCGTGGATTTCGGAAGAGTTCTTTTGTCAACGACAGTCGGAAAGGGAACAGCTGGGGATCCCAAAAGCCACTACAAGACTTTTACTCCATGGCACACAAACTTGGGACACCTAAAAGTACCTCAAATCCGTTCAGAATCCTCAATTTTGAGATCAATCCAGCTCTGCACCGGCAAAATCCTGAAAATTCGCTCTCCAAAAACGGCGGTGAAATTCATGGCCCAAGGGCCGACAAAATCTGGACGGTCTTAGGATGATCCTGAAAAATGCCCAAGCCATGGAGGTTTCACAGGGAAAATCATCAAAATCAATGATTTTCCAGCCGAGCTGTTGAGGTCGTTATAATTTATAATTTATTCAGATCAGTAGCACTGATGCTTGGACTTAGAATTCATAAGTTTTTGCGGGACAAATGGGAGTACCCTCTGGTAATAAAAAACACAGCGACAATAAGCCGTTTGTAGTTGATTTTGTTGTAGAAAAATGGGGATTTTCCACAATCGTCCAGTTATGGTAGTTTACCAAAGGGTAGGATCATCCCAGCATCGAAAACCTCAGGTGCCTTTGTGCAAGGCCTCTAAGCGAGCCATTGAAGCGCTATCCTGCAACGGGCTGGGATGATCTATGATGATCTCCATAGTCATGTGGCTACCCCAAGCTTGCTGGATGGTGACTATTTCATGGAACATCCATCTTTTTCCAGCCATATGAGTCATATGAGGTTCCACTCGGGATCAATCCAGCCAGAGTGTCAGAATGCTGCTTCCAACATCCATGGAACATCCATCAATGGATGATGACTGGGGGTAGCCCTATGACAAAACGGACACCTCCATATGATTTCCAAACATACCCCAGACCCTGCTTAGCCTGGGACTCTGGTTTGGTTTTGTGATCATTGGCCAACATAGCAACATTTTTTTCCAGGAACTAGATATACCAAAAGGGAAAACATCAAACATCGCCAGCCCACAAAGTAATTTACCACATCAGATGTAAAGATTTTTGCGCAAATCAGAAATCAGAAATACTGATCAAAATGGGGTACATTCATCACTTTGATATGGGAGCTGCAAAAAAACATGCTCAACCTTGGATGCAGATTCTATTCCTCCGTGCCAATTGCTACTCCAGCAGAAGGTCAAATTCATCCACTAGCTACAAGTCATCTGGGTTTCCCCAACAAACACTTGGCAGCCGTTCAGTTGGGAGTCTCCACTAATTTCGCTACGGGCTGCCAGGTTGGATTACCAAAGGGTAGCCGTTACCCACTGCCCTCCATATGTGTCTCTTCCAGACACTTTAGCATTAAACAGACACCAGAGATATTCCTATGTTAAGGTACGCAAACCCAGGCATTTTCCCATTTTCACATATCCTGATTATCCTGTTTTCATGTTGTTTTCATGGGTCTTTCCATGGGTTTTTCTAGATCTTTGCCCACCAAAATCTCGGTAAAACTCCACCCTCCTTGGCCACGGTGGCACCGGCATCGGCTTCGCGACCGGACAGCTCCGGGCTGAATGCGGGCAAACAGAGCACCGTGTATTGCGTGGCCGTGGGCCAGATCCATTTCACCTCAGATTCTCGTCCATGGCATATAAATATATATATATATATAATACAGATATTGTGGGAAATATAGATGGTGTATATCATATGATATATATATACGGATATATAAAGGTGGTATATAAACGTTAAAAGACGGTATATAGCTATTTTATCTATGGGATAATGGAAATAATGAACATTAAGCAGCGTTCCATCATACCAGTTTTATGTTTAGAGGATCATAGCCATTCAGTGGTATACAAGCGGTATATACAATTGTTATATACATATGCATATATATATATATGTATTATAGAATAGAGTGAAAATGTTCATATAATTATGTATATATATATGTATAGAGCTGGCTTTTTGAGATCATCATGGGGTAACATGGATAGTTTGATGAAACTATCCCCCAAAAACAACTGGTATATAATACTGTATATATATATGCATTATAACTGGTGTATACATCATACATTTCTCGAGGAAACCAAGCATGATTACTGGCAAGTTGTCACTTTTCAGTTGGATGAACAAACGCAACCCGATGCTCTGATGCTCAGCCGAAAGCCTGGGATGGGAAACACCACAGAACTTGGATCCTGGTTCCATTCGCAATGAGATGACTAGTACTTTGGTTACTATTGCACTTGTGGAATACAAGTAAACTCACTAAGTAGATGAGCAACCTTTTTCTTGGCGGATTTCTAAGTGTGGCTTTTTGGAGATAGAACATATAGAGACATATAGGTGATACGAATGGTCCATCCCGACACTGTAAAGACAAAATGATGTGAATGGCGAATCATCTGTTCATCATTTTCCTAGCTTTCTATTTTTTGGATCCCTGTTGGGATCCCCTCCTTGTTGAACAAAACATTTCACCAGCCTCGGTTACACAACTGGAGCCAACTGGAGCTCCCAACACGTAGAGACTTCGGCAGGAAGACCCCTTCACCAGGGCTGATGGTCAGTCGGCGATCGTCGCCAAAAAGGAACTCGATGGATCCTTCATCACAAACCACCTGGGCTTGGATCATTCGTGGTTACCATATAGGTATACCATAGATGTAGCATAGTTATATCATCCAGTTGAATTGATGGAATTTAATGGGATGTGGTTAATCATGGTTAATAACTATATTAACTATATAACGATACTTAGTTCACCCAGTTGAATTAATAGGATAAACTCAGGATAAAAGGGGGGGAAATTCACGCGATTTTTTTTGGCTAATCCTCCAAGGACCCGGCATTCGTTGGCACAAGGGGAAAATGTGGGCAGTTCCATCTTTTCTCCGGGACTCATTCTTGCAGTTCCATGTTCAATTTTAGGTCTATAATCTGAAGAAACATATAAATTTTGAATTCTTCGCGCGTGGCAATTTGGGATTTCCCTAGACCTGCTGGTGAAATCGGCCGGTGAGGAAAGTACATAACTTACCTGCTATGATTATGGATGTGGTTGACAATGGATTCCCTTCGGTTGATGGTTGGTTGGGGTTCCAAGTGTGAGTCATGACAATCCCTGTCCAGCAAAGTTAGGATCCAAACATGGGGTTAATGGCTTGTGATCATCCAGCCCACAAATGGGAATCCAAACATAATGGGTACATCAAAATCCCAATGAATATGGCCTGATTATTCCCACCCCCCAAGGACTGGGTTAATCTAATCCATCTTTTGACGCTGCCATATATACGAAAATAGGAGGTTTTGATCACTCGCCTGGACATGTGGCTCCAAAGGCCCAAAGATTTGATGTCACTGCAGACTTTACTTTTTCCCACCAAAAAAACAACCAAAATGACACAGTCACATGCGGTGGGTCAAAAAATGAGGCTTGGACCCAATAGAATTAGGTCCTGAAACTTCCAATAAACCATGTATTCTGCCGGAACGATGTGAGCCAAACGTGTCTGTGTTTTTGGTGCATTTGATTCCCGAGTTTGTCCAGAAACAGGGTATGCCCCCGCAAGACATGCAAGTTTGATGGGGAATTCAAAAAAATCAATATAGATCAATATAGACTTTTGCCAACATTTTTGGACAAACCCAGCTATCTCGTTGAACGAACCTGTGAGGCGAATTCGACATCTAAGGCGCACACAAACTCATCAAACAGGGGCGCTTGAAAAGCTTCCTCGCAGGCTCCTCGACTTGCTTGATCCAGCTGAGAATATGCGACGCCACCCCCATTCTTTGGGTATGGTTGTTCTGTCACCTTTTTGATGGCCATCAAAATCAATGCAAACATGGTCATCAAAAAATACATATTGATTGAGCATGAATATGTTATCTATCCGATATGTATCCCATGGATATCCATGATGATTACTTAATATGCCGATTGTCACTACTCTAGTCCAAACCAAGGATCAAACATGATCAAACATGACTTGCAGGTCATGATTTTCCCTGTTTTTCCTTTGCCCCTTTGGGGCGTGAATCTCTGTGTCCTTTGACCACGGCACGTGCCAATGACATGGCGGCATCATTGGAGGCCACTTTGCCAAAGTGCTCGCTGATGGTAATGCCTCGATCGGCGAAAAAAGGTGGGTATAAAATATCCAAAATGGGATGGTTCAACCATCAAAAATGGTGATATTAGGTTTTTGGTTTTTGCTTTTATAACGGGTTGGTCTCAATAAAATTCCAGAACTGGTTGGTTTGAACACCGCCGTCCAGCATGTCAGGGTTTCCAAATTGAAATCGGCTAAGCAATCGTGCGGCACTTGTGCATTTACCCAAACATGGGACCTCAGAAACGCGCAAAAAATAAACAACTGATTATTTTTGTTTTTTTTGGCATTCCGAGTCACCCAAATCCAATCTTAATGGGATGCACCCACACTTGCAAGATTTCATGTGTTCCTTATTACTATATGCGTTCCATATGGTGAATGATCATCCCATCATTGTGAGGAATTCCGAACATAGTAGGCATATTAAGAACATGGACTGATGACCATGTGCAAATGTCTGAGAAAATAACCCGCGTAATTTGACTATGTCGAATATGAAACAATTTAATTTGACTGGGATGCAAGTAATCAAATTTATCAATTTTTAAATACCGCCGTCGTAAGTTAGCAGAATCGTATTTTCATGTATCACTCGAAAAAATGTGTATATACACAATCAATATCCACTAAAAACCTTGACGCGCACACACGCACACACACACATATATATATATGAACACAGGGATATTACATTAGATTAAAAACTGAGTTTATACGAACATATCTTAGATTTTGTTGTTTTGAAATAAATCATACCATATGATATTATACACTGTTATATTAAATGAGCTTTATCAAACTAATTATATTAACTCAAACGGTGTTTTTTATATGATATTGAATTATATTTTACAAAAAATATTTTGACTCATATTACATGAAGTTGGAAAAATCTAAAAATACATGATATATATATATATATGTTATCAAACTTTATATTTAATGTGAAATTGTTTGATATCAAATTTAATGTTAATGTAGTGTGTAATATTTATCTGCATGAAATTCAAAATTAAGTTTTATAGTTATAGCTGATATGGAATGGTAAACTATATAAAATTATTGGATATAAAAAATGTTATATCATACAAAGTTACACTTGGTATTACACGTTCAAAAAAGAAATGCAACAAACACACAATATAATATTAAATTACTGTATGTCATTGTATATCATCTTGTTTGAAAATAAATACAAATTGATCTGTATTTCATATTGTATTAATGAACAAATACACATAAAATATAGAAATGCATGAAACTGTTTAACATTATCTTAAATATACAAGTTTAAAAATTGATTTGATATGACATTTTCAGTTGCATATCACTCAAAATTTCTGTTACACAGGTTCTTCGATATTGTGCTATATTTGAAAAACACCAAATTATATTAAACCAAGTGTGAAAAATATTCTATATTAGAACTTGTATTATACACACAATAATGTTCTGTATTCGGTTGTCAATAAAATGAAATATTGAATTAAATCTTCCATACTAAATAAGATAACAATATACTACATGGTGGAAAAATAATACATCATAATGCATTAAGATAAATATCTTAAACTAAATCATTTTATATTCTGTTACATTACATGATATGAAATGATATCACAGTATACTAAATTTCATTAACTCGGTTTATACTAATAATTTCTATACCATGTAACATAGTATCAAATTTTATGATGTGACACGCCATGACATGATATCAGATTATATATGATATGATATGGTACTAAATTAAATTCAATTATATTGAATTCGATTAGGGTGTCCAAGATTGAATTGGATCCCCCAGACCATTGGTTTCCCTATCAGTAACATTTTTTTGGATGATTTTTGTCCCATATTTGTCTATATATGTCTATATGTTCCTATGGCAACTTTCGTCGTATCTTTCCTTGCCTGGTGCATCCACTACATCCACCTTCTTTACCACAGTTGCCTGGCATCAACGGCGATATGTCTGTGATGGCTTCTCAAGGCTTTGAGGAAATTCAATCACCCAAAGGGGGGGAGTGATAGAAACAACCAACCAACATATGGGGATACAGTGGAATTTCGAATATGGGGTAATATACTGGCAATATTGAATGAGACACATATCACCACTGAAATGTTGGGATATGAAACAGCGTTGGATTTTCTCGGATTAACTTGGACTCAAAGCCAATTCGGTACTTGGGTTTGTTTCACAAGGGAGCTCTAAGACATTTTATGGCCATTGATCAATAGGGAAGCTGCTGTGGGCCATAGGATGAACTGGGCAATCAGGTCCTAGATTGGCAAACAACCGTGCATGGGCACATCCAGTTTCTTCTTCTGGACGAAACCAACATTCTTGATGGTTCAATTTGAAAACGCAGACTACTGGTTTACAAGATGAGTTTTTAGCAGTTTTCGGATGGAAATCGCATGTGGGATTTTTATTTTCGCTTTCATATTGGAAAGTTTAACGTGGACGTTGGCTTTGGCTTTGTAGAATGAACGCGAAAGAAAAAACACATGGTTGTTCGAAGCATGGGGGTGATCGATGGGATAAAACAGAGTTCAGATAGAAGATTGCTTCGGGATGTCTTGAACTAATCCCTTCAACCGACCCATGCCAAAACTGAGGTGTTAAACCTCCAAGCGCCCCCGCAATGGGACAAGTCAAACCTGATAAGGGAACGTTATTGTGTTGTTTCCCTGGATCTTCGGTTCGGCTTCTGCATCACAAGGGCCCTGGTGATCAAGCGGGTATTTTGCCCTTTCTTGGTGACAGTTGTGGTTAACCCCCCCCATGACATCCAACAGAGCCAGCAGCCATGCGGTCGCTGCAGGTGCGCCTTCTCTTCCGCCTGGGATCTCAAACATGATCTGAGGATGGTTTGCAAAAATATAGCAAACTCACGCCCACACACATGTGTAGGTAGGCGGATTCAAGTTGTATACCTCATCAGCCATTTCGCGTCGTTCTACTTTCATGGTAGCTTGGCGCCAGTCTTGGTTTAACTTCTGCCGCGCTGGCCGCTTGCAGCAGAACCAACGCAGCGTAATTAAATCTGAACGGGGGCCCCGTGCTCCACCTCTGTCAATTGAAATGGGTTCTTTTAGCGCGGTCTCAACTACTTAACAGCTTGGATAGTCACTCAAGTATACTAAGTATACCCTTGGGTTTTGTGAACCTATTGCAAATTTTGACGCCACGTGCCAGAGACATGTCATTTCTGCTGCTTTAGCATGCAAAACTTTCGGCTTGTTGGATTGCCAAAATGCAACGAACATATGCTTTTTTTAGTCATCCTTTGAGTCCAAATGGATTGTGGAACTCCCCAAGTCAGTTCACAGAGAAAAGTACAGTACACGCACCACTTTGACCATGGCAGGCACTTTTTTGATGATCTTGGTGCCGTGAAATTTACAGATTCAATCACAAACACAATTCCGAACCATACTTATCCAAAAAAAACCGTTCACTGCTTGCTGCCTGGAACAATGGTCTAATGAAGTTGAGCTGGACGATTTCACTCCGGGTGGAAATTTAATCCATGTGCCGCATCGACTACTAATCATGAGGATCCTCTGCCATGCAGGATGCCAGCGAAAAGTAAACGTCAGGATCAACTATGCACTCGCTTCGGATGATGCTTGGGAACGGTGGCCGGGGGATATGCATGGAGGTTCGATGACGTTTGTGTGATTTCACCCTGTTGCTCTGCTGTCCACACAGATAAAATCGTTTCTACACGGGATGCGAAAGGCTATGTATCCATTGTTTTTGGGACAGCAGCAATTGTCAGAGATCCAGGGTCAACCCCAAGAATGCCTGGCACCCCCAAATTCAAACTTGTTTAGAACAAAATTTTCCACATGGTGCTGCGATATGTTGCAATAGCACCCAAAATGCACCACGTGGAGGTTTCACGTGGGGGTACCCCCGCATGATAGGTAGAAAGGTAGATGACGGATAGATATAGGTGGATGGATGGATAGATGGTTGGATAGCTCGATATCTTGAAGCCTTTTCCTCTTCAGATTGAAAATTGAACATCGTTTGATTAGATGACTTTAGTATTGGAACCTGTGGCGGCTTAGGGATACGACATTTCAAGAACCCACCCAAATTAAACTGGACACAACCATGCCCCATTGCTTCAAGCAGAAGATGCGTTTTTCTCCAAACATGGGCCCAGTCTCAATTCTTAACTTAGGTCTTGACTCAGGGTTGCTCTCGGGGGAAATTTGCCAATCGGCAATAAGAACAGATAACAAATGCATATATATATATGTGTATAATGTATACATATAGCAGTAAATATATTTATATACATATATATTTGCACATACACATTTGATTGACGATATATGTATGTTGTAAATGTAGATCTATACATCATGCTTGGTACATTGTTATCAGTCTCTATCTGGTTGATCTTGGGATTTCGTTGAAGATCTTAGATGATCTGGGACTGTCCCCATTGTGATCCAATCCAAATCGAACTTTCTTGGTATATCGTCCGCTGCCCTTGTAGGTGCTGGTAATCTAAGTTGGCACCGGGAGATCGGATGATTTTAATATTGAAACCCATGGTGACTTGGGGATTACCCCTGTGAAACAACCATTGATATTCCCACGAAAGTCACCCACTTGGAGCAAAACCAGCCAAAAAAATCAGAAACCAAGCTCCGGAATACGAATTATGATGACCACCATCAGCTTTTTTCGGGTGTGTACCACCCAAAAAGTCCGGAGTCCAGATCCAGAAGAAAATTCTTCGGCCGCAACCAGCCCCCGCGTCAACACGTCATCAGAACAGCAATGTTCAAAGCCCAGACTAGATGGATAACCAGATAGACAAAACAAATAGATAGATAGATAGACACATAGAAAGAAGGGCAGACAGACAGGACGTATTGATAGATAGACCAGTGCGTAGACAGATAGATAGACAGATATATTGGTAGATAGATCGATATATAGACAGACAGATAGGTAGACATATAGGTAGACAGATACATAGCTAGATACTTAGATAGATAGACAGAAAGATCAATAGGTAGATAATTACATGGATAGATGGAAAGAGATAGATGGATAGACAGATAAAAAGATAGACGAATAGATAGACAGATGGGTAGAAAGACAGACGGATAGATAGATAGACAGATTGGTAGACAGATAGACAACTAGACAGACAGATGGAAGAATAGACCGAAAGAGATAGAGAGGGTGAAAGTCAGAGCGTCAACCAGCCTTGGCACATCAGTGGGTTCGCCTGCCATCCATGCATCACGAGAACTCACCCCTCCTATAAGTTTCCTATCTCTGAAACTTACGCCGCCGCCTTGTGCGGTACTACTTGTATTTCCAATATATAAAGGATGGACGCACCTAATCATGTGGTAAAGCCAAAAAACCATCCATCCCTAATGTATGAAATTGGGCATCCCCCTAGACAAGGAAGGGGTTACAATACCCTCCTAATGGTTGGTTAATGGGATGGTTCAAGCCACGACCGTGCAGCAGCCACTGCATTCACTGCGTCGGCTGCGTTTCAGGTCCCAGCCACATCCGCCGTCGCCGTCATCGCCATGATGGCGAAGGAGCCATCGCAGTTGCAGTCGACGGCCAGGTGCGCTGGAAGCAGCAGACCTTCACCTGCGTCGATGTGGAAGCTGCCACCTGACAAGAGGTGCAGGGCGCTTTCGCTACGTGAAAACATAGATTCCAGGAGAATCCTAGCCTAAACCAACCCTTGAATAGACCCTAAACCAACCCTAAACGAACCCTAAACGAACCCTAAGCCAACCCTAAACCAGTTAACCCTACATATTCAACCCTACACCAATCTTAAATCCTAAGGCAATCCTAAATAAACCCTAAATCAACCCTAATCCAACCTTACATTCAACCGTAAACCAAACATTAATAAACCTTATGCCAACCCAAAATAAATTCCAAGCCAGCCTAAATCAATCCTAACAGATGTTAAACCAACCCTAAACCAAATCTAAATAAACCGTACTAAATAAATCCTGAGCAAACCCTAAACAGAACCTAAACACACCCTAAATTGACCTAAAATAAACCCTAGATAAATTTTAAGCCAACACGAAATAATTCCTAAAGAAACCAAATGTAAAACGAAAACCAACTCTAAAGATGCCCTAAACCCACTGTAAATAAACCTTAAACCAACCCAAACTAAAACCTAAACCGAAACTACCTTGGCCAACCCCCAAAATAAACCCTCTACCTGGGGACGGTGACCCAATATGTGGGGATGGGGACGTGAAAAATTCACCTCCCCAAAAGCTGCAGGGGCCGAAATGGACAAAGTATTGATTTTGGAACCAGCCGCTTGGGCTTATCTGAAAAACAGGCTACTTCCTGGTTATATCGTCACAGTTTTCCTTCTTAGATCACTTCGGGTCGCTGCTGGATGCTGAACGGATCATTGAACCATCTTTCTTGTTTTGGTCAGCCCTTGAGTCCTCGAGCTTCCGCCAATGGAAGCAGTTCCAAAATGGGCCACCCGAGTCCGTGTTTCGCCTTGGAAAGATAAACCCGAAGTGCCCATCCCTCCGACACAGATTCATGATGGGTAAACTAATTGTGGCGAAACTTAGATAACCCTTCCAAAACTTGCACGTGTCCATGATTTCCCGCAAAGCAAAACCAACCTGGAAGTCCCGCCTTCGTAGGTGACATCCATGGACCCCGCAGTGCAAATGATGTGCTCCTGGGAACCCCAAAAAATGGCGGAACATGTTTGAACATGGGTTTATCTAACACCTCCAACTTGGATGGTTTATCAGCATTGCCGTAGCAAAAAATGACAACCTTTTGGGGTGATGAAAAAACAATACCAGATTTTTAGACACGCCCACGCACTTTCGGGTTGATGGTGGAGTGGTTGGTCGCTTCGCCAACTCCGATTGAGATCAAAGGGCTCATCAGTTCCATGGATTTCTGGAAAATGTCCCATGTAGTTCGATGATTTTCCACTTGACATGCCCCTTTTACAGGGGATTTCCGATTGCCAGGTTTGGTTGCCGTGTAGAGAAACCCGGCCGCTCCATAGCGAATGACATCATGGCACACCAGTCTACAAGGTGAGACCCCCCAGTGATGTTTGTTGGTTTTTGAACCCCATTAAAAGTAGTAATGTCTGCCATAAACCAAGGAATTTATCAAGTGAGCAGTGCGTCAACTTCGCTATCATACCTAGGGGACCTCATCTTATACTTGCAGAGATAATTACAGCGCTAAATACGGAGTCGTTTGACTTGTTTTAACGCATATGTATATGTATATGTGTATATTATATATATATACACATACATATCCGACATATATATATATATGTATATACGCGCTATAGTTCACATATTAAATTTCACGAGCTCCTGGGATTTTGTGATTTTTAGGGAATATTTGATATCAAGGTCAAGATGCAATATTTGGTGCAGTGTACGCGCACAAGGGTCGCACGAAAAAACTTAAGCGTCATGGTTTGCACGGGTTTGCACTGGATCAGCCTTCCATAAATGGAATTGGTCCAATTAATCGTTCAGAAAAAATGAAACGGTCGGAAACGGTCGGAAACATGATCAGGCCAAAACTTGTCCAACCCGCATTTCTTAAAAAAAAACATTTCCGCGCAACGCAGTTTTTTTTTGAAGGTCCAAAGGTGTCCAAGGGGAAACGGTTGGAAACAGTCGGAGATCGCACCTTCGCTCGGCAAGAAAGACATGTTTTTACATAAGTTTCAAACATGTTTCATGAACATATGCTACAAAACAACTACTTTTTTGCCGAGCGAAGGTGCGATCTCCGACTGTTTCCAACTGTTTCCCCTTGGACACCTTTGGACCTTCAAAAAAAAAACTGCGTTGCGCGGAAATGTTTTTTTTAAGAAATGCGGGTTGGACAAGTTTTGGCCTGATCATGTTTCCGACCGTTTCCGACCGTTTCATTTTTTCTGAACGATTAATTGGACCAATTCCATTTATGGAAGGCTGATCCAGTGCAAACCCGTGCAAACCATGACGCTTAAGTTTTTTCGTGCGACCCTTGTGCGCGTACACTGCACCAAATATTGCATCTTGACCTTGATATCCAATATTCCCTAAAAATCACAAAATCCCAGGAGCTCGTGAAATTTAATAAGTTCACACACATATAAACAAATAAAGAAACAAACAAATAAATAAATGCATAAATAACTAAATCTATCTTTACGTAAATGAACATATCATATCTATTCTATATATAATACTTGACCCACGACCCCGACCACCCGTGCCTTGACTCCCACGGGCTTGGTGCGCAGCGCTGCTTCGCTGCGCTTCGCCAACAAGGAGAAGGAAGTGGTGCCCTGGGGCGACATGGTAAGTTTGATGGTGCCCCAAGGCATGTTTACGCGGACTAAGGGATTACTGGGACTTAACGGGGTTTAATGGGATTTCATGGGGTTTCGTGGGATTTCATGCGATTTAATGGGATTTCATGCGACTTAGTGGGATTTCATACGATTTTTTGGAGTTGAATGGGATTTAATGATTTTGAAACCACCATAAGCTGAGATATAACCCCTCCCTGTAGGGCCCGGCCCATGCCGGGGCGGAAGTTTCGAAACAAGGACATGGCTATAGGAAATCAGTGGCCTATAGGAGAGTTTTTGCGATGCAGAAGCAATGAAGTGTTGAAGTTGTGAGGTGCATCAACGAGTGAGCAAATTGAGCACATGGTTGTTGAGATGCCCATGAGATGAAAGAATCCATGCACAGCTCACTGAATAAACCAGTGAGTCAAGGATTCACCGCATCAATGAATCAGTGGATCAATGAAGCAACAAATCAACAAATGAATGAATCAGTGAATCACAGAATCAATGAACCAATGATTCAACAAGTCCATGAATCAATGAAACAATGAAGCAACAAATCAATGAATCAGTGAATCAATGGTTCAACGACCAGTGAACCAATGAACTAGATTTTGGGCATGCTTCTGGGGTAACAATTTTGGAGGCTCTCCCCCATCTACCTTGGGAGACCCCTGGGCATTCTATGAAGGACTCTATTGACCCCTTGGCTCAGGTCATGTGGTGGCTTTGAATCGTTTTGTGCCCCTTGTCTGCATTAACCCGCATCAACCTGCAGTAGTACGAATCATTGAACCGATGAACCAATGAATTGGTGAATCAATGAATCAATGGTTCAGTGATTCAGTGAGTCAATGAGTCAGCGAATGACTGAATCAGTGAGTCAACGAATCACTGCATAAATGTATGAACGAGCGAATGACTGAATGAACGGATGACAGAGCCTGACTGTCTGACTGACTGGCTGACTGAATGAACGAGTGATCACATGAATGAATGAATGACTGATTGAGTGAATGAATGAATGAATGGATGAATGAATGAATGAATGGAGTAAATGAATGAATGAATGCATGCATGCATGAAAGAAAGAAAGAAAGAATGAATGAATGAGTGAATGAATGGATGGATGAATCGGATGAATGAATGAGTGAATCAATGAATTTTGCCAACCTCATCCTCCAAAAGTGCCCCCATCCCCTCAGTCTTTTGCGATTTTGAAGTGTAAATCGAACTCTCGCTACAGCCAGCTTCATTTGTCAAGAGTTTTTCCCCGAGAGCGTCTGAGCGAAGGGTTCTTCTAATAGTGGGGGTCTGTCAAACATCTTCACATCTCCACATCTTCACATAACATCTTGAAATCTTCACATATTCCCATGCTCACATCCTCACATCCTCACATCTTCACATCTTCTCATCTTCACATCTGCTGATCGTCACATCTTGTCATCTTCACATCTGTTCATCTTCACATCTTCTCATCTTCACATCCTCACATCTTCACATCCTCACATCTTCACATCTTCACATATTCTCATCTTCACACCTGCTCATCTTCTCATCTTCTCATCTTCACATCTTCACATCCTCTCTTGCCCTCTTGCTCTCTCCTTCTCGTCTATTTCTCTCTCAATAAGGCGCGGGGCAGTGCCAACGAGACGGCACGAAACGCAACCCTTTAGCACGAAACGATGTTCGATCGCCAAAAACTGAGGTAAAATTGCGATTTGCAAAACTTCCGGCGAACCCTTTCGCACGAAATGAAGTTCGATCGCCTAAAACTGTGGTAAAATTGCGATTTCACGGGTCCGGGCGCAGCCCTTTCGCACGAAATGAGGTTCGATCGCCAAAAACTGAGGTGCAACCCTTTCGCGTTTGTGTGTAAAAGTGTCTGTGTGTAAAAGTTTCTGTGTGTAAAAGCGTCTGTGTGTGAAAGCGTCTGTGTGTAAAAGCGTCTGTGTGTAAAAGCGTCTGTGTGTGAAAGCTTCTATGTGTAAAAGCGTCTGTGTGTGAAAGCGTCTGTGTGTAAAAACGTCTGTGTAAAAGCGTCTGTGTGTAAAAGCTTCGGTGTGTAAAAGCTTCGATGTGTAAAAGCGTGTGTGTAGAAGTCTCTGTGTGTAAAAGCTTCTGTGCGTAAAAGTGTCCAATGAATCGGGGCTCAAGACGTCATCCGCCGCCTAGTCGCTACAAGTTGTGCTTCACTCCACAGCTTGAATGCCTGCGCCAGCGACTCCAATACATGTTCACTTCATGGTTCGGCAGCTTTTTCTCAGGTAAAAAAACATCAGTGTTTTTCAGGTAGGCTCATCCATGTCGCGACGTGAGATGCTGGAGTGGTCGCAAGCCGGGCAAAAAGGCATCCAGGATGCGTGCAATGACACTGCTTCCTGGACGGCCTTGGATGAAATCACCCGACAACACAATTACAGCTTCAAATCCATAGCTGCATGGCCTGTGGATGGTTGCCTTGTTTGCAAGCCTACAGAAAGGGCAGCTATGCTGCTTGGCAGCTTGCAGGCCGCGTGCAACGTGGGAGTCATCAAAGAAGATCTCGGCGTGTCTGTGACAGCGGTTGTTTCCATGTGCGAGACTGACATGAATGTACATGGAGCTCCATCGAATTGGAATGATTACTTCCGTGAGCACGATGTAGTTCATATTCATTGTCAGCTGGACGACATCACAGTGAAGCAGCCGGGCCGGGACTTAGAACGGCACAAAGCATTGCAAAAGAATTGCCTCTCCGAGTGGAAAAGCATATGCTTCCAACTGTGGCAACAGTCAGTCACTGCCATCAACGCAGACAAGCCCATGAACATTTTGTTTCATTGCTTTGGTGGCATCAACCGCAGCGCTGCGGTTTTGTGTGCTTGGCTCATCGCAACCTATGATATGGCTACAGCGCGGAAGATGCGATCAAACTGTTGCTTACAAAGAGACCGTCTCTTCGCCCGTGGCGCCATCGAGACTATGTTTTGGAGGCATTGTGGATGGTGGAACAACAGCGCTGTGAGTGGTACTGGGATTTCCGACTTGACGCGGCCTAGCTCTCATTTGCTTGTGCGCTGGGAGCCTGAAACCGCAGAATGTTTCGATGTCAAAATGATGTCGAAAAGTATGTTCGTGACGTTTGTGGTTGAAGCTGTAGCGGAGACAAGTCAACCGAAACTGTTCGAGACTTGTTGAGGCACGTAATGCTTCCTTTCTGACAAGTCAACCAGACCTGTCTGAGACTTTGTCGTCTACAGTCAACTTGGTCGACAGTGAATAAAGCTGCTGATTGCTCTTGCGCAGGTAGTTGCATGGATCGATCTGATTTCTATCCGCAACATGTTCGATGGCATTGCTTATCGTCACACTTGCCTATGTGACATCATGAGGCTGCAGGTTCTTGCTCACATGTAGACTGCACTGTTGAAAAGCTGGCTTTTCAGGTTAGGATTGCAAGAATGCAAGCACGCATCGCAAAGTTTCTAGCGATCAAATGCAGGTCCCCTAATGCAGGCCACGGACTTCACCCCCCTTCATTGCTGAGGTGCCCACGACAACGATGACTTCGCTGTGAGTGTGTGTGTGTGTCCTGGCGTCTGTCGGCGTCTCTGTTTGTGCGTCCCGTGTCTATCTCTTTGTGTGCGTGTGTGTCTGTGCCTGCGTGTGTGTCTGCGTGTATGTGTATTCCTCTTTGTGTGCGTGTGTGTCTGTGCCTGTGTGTGTGCGCGTGTATGTGTCTTCCTCTTTGTGTTCTGTTTGTGTGTGTGTAACATCTGAACAGATGTAAAACTTCTGCAGGGGGCCCGTGGATGCATAGATTGCACGGGCCAACGAAGACCCATCTATGTCGTCGTGCAAACGTACCTGCAATTTTCCAGTTTATCGTCAATGGCAACCGGCTAAGCCAAGAACCGGCCCTTAGGTCATTGTTTCTAATCTAACTGCATGTGAGGGGATTCAGTTCCCAACGGATCACTTCAATGATCCATTTCTTGTCTAGTGTGATTTCCATGGTGACTCCGACATGGTGCCATGGAGCCATTTGAGGCATCCCTTTTTAGGGAGAATGAGGACAGACCTGACTTCCGAATTAACGCATTTTAATCTGGTAATTCGTTTAAGTAAAGTGAAACAGTTGGCCATTCCGTTCTCCACTTTTTACAATGTCTCGCCGCTCCTGCTGTCTTTGCGGCACCTTGGAAATTTCGTCTTTACTCTAGTGAAGCCGATCCGAACAGCCAGAAACCTCTTTTTTTGCTGATGCTCAAGCTTCTGATGCAACATGCAACATGACAGATGATCCAGGCAGGCACATGCCTTCCAGGTGTGGTGATTCTTTTCTTTTGATGGTTTTCTGGTGAGGTTAAACACTTCGTGCATCTAATTCGCTTGAACTTGAACAGCCGTTTATGCCCATGTGGCTTGATCGACCACGGTCCCGTTTTGGGAGTAACGCACGATTACTAATCGAGAGAGCTGAGTTCCCTTAATTTTATGTTGTTGGTTCCTATTTCGTCACCAACTAGTCCCCCATGCGGTCCCTAATTTCTCCCCCGTGCCCCTCTGTAATGTGTCGTGGGGTTTAGGTGTGTGCCCTGTGCTGGTTAGGTCCGTTTCGCCGTGTAGGTTGGTTCTGGAGGTCCGTTTGTTCTCTTCGCCCCCCTACGCTGTTTTTGGCCTTCTGCCCGTCGTTTGTGTCCGCTTTTTCTCTTCCTCTTGCCTTTCAGGGTTGACCCGGCTCCGGCCGGGTGTGTGTGTGTAACATCTGAACAGATGTAAAACTTCTGCAGGGGGCCCGTGGACGCATAGATGGCACGGGCCAACGGAGACCCATCTATGTCGTCGTGCAAACGTACCTGCAATTTTCCAGTTTATCGTCAATGGCAACCGGCTAAGCCAAGAACCGGCCCTTAGGTCATTGTTTCTAATCTAACTGCATGTGAGGGGATTCAGTTCCCAACGGATCACTTCAATGATCCATTTCTTGTCTAGTGTGTGTGCGTGTGCGTCTG